AGGGAGGGCCTGGGATCCTCCGTGGCTCAGGGACCCAGACCACAGGCTGGTCTGGCAGCCCCAGCCTTGGGCCAGGCCCAGGGAGGCTGAAGTGAGGCCAGCCACTCTGGAACCTTCCAGCCACTCAGGGCTGGAGCTCTCGGGGAGCTGATGGCTCAGAAGCCCCAGTGTGGGTGTGACTGGCACCCCTGGAGACACACACCCCTCGCCGGGAGCCCCAGCCACCAGAGGCAAGCCCTCTTGGCTCAGGAGACCCCCAGGGGCCGGGGGGAACAGACCCTGGGCAGGGAAATCCTTTCTCAAGCGGGTGGGGAGCCCAGGCTTCCACCCTGCCTCCTGATGTGCCCCCGCCTCCCATCTGAGGACCAGGCGGTTGTCGAGCAGGTGAACCTGGCCACAGGGACAGTGGACACCTCGGGCCAGCGTCTCAGGGTCAAACCCCCCACCAAGGAAAGCAGGGGGCTTGCAGGGAGGGGGCCTCCCCGAGTGCAGCAGACCGGGGAGAGTGTCCACCAGCGCCCCCGCCCTCCAGCCCGCCAGCCCTCCGGGGAGGCTCCGGGATGGGGCGCAGCCTGGGAGGAGGGGGAGGGCGAGGCCAGGTACCCAGCAGCCCGGCGTCCTGTAGGAACAGGAGGGCCACGCACCCTGCGGCTCCCCGCCCACGTCTCGCTCCTGCACGGGGACAAGAGGCAGGCTGGGCCGGGGCTGCCCCGAGGGCCCTGAGACTGCCACACTGCAGGAAAGCCCAGCCTGCCCCGGGGAGGGGCCCCAGGGTGTGTGTGTGGGGCGTGGGGGGCCAGCCACCCCAGCCCAGGCCTCGGGCGAGGAGCCCCTCGGACACGCCCGTGCAGCTGACACGCCGGTCCTGGGGCTCGCAGAATCACGAGACCAAGCGGTGGGGTCTGACGCCACCACGTTTTGGAGAGGTTTGTTCACAGGGCGGTCATAAAGGGTAACAAACGCTCGGCGACTCCGGGGCGCTGAGGTCTCCACTTCTCGGAGCGCTGGGGCCCAGTGATGGCACACGAACCACCCACAGTGAGGGAAACGCAAGTCTGCAGAGAACCGAGCTGAAGAGAAACTAAATGTGCCAAAATCACCTGTGTGGATAAGCTGCAATTTTTAATATCGGCACCGAATCTTGATTTAACCAGAAACTATGCTTGTGTGTATGTGTGGCAGGGGCACGGGGGATTGTAAGGTTGCAAAATCTTCATTTTCCACAGGAAATCTGTCCATAAAGAAGGTTTAAGTTGGGAAATCATCAAACGAGAAGTAGGATAAGTGTAGAAATGTGGAGAGAAACCCTTTCATTATACACTTGGTGTCACTAGTGGGCTTTCAAACCGGGAGTGTGTGTAACATTGGTGGTGGTTTAGTCGCTCAGTCGTGTCCGACTCTCACGACCCCACGGCCTGCAGCCTGCCAGGCTCCTCTGTCCATGGGATTTTCCAGGCAAGAATACTGGAGCGGGTTTGCTGTTCCCTTCTCCAGTGGACCTTCCCGATCCAGGGATCGAACCTGGGTCTCCTGCACTGCAGGCAGATTCTTTCCCAACTGAGCTACCAGGGAAGCCTACGTAACACTGCTACAGACGAAAATTCAGTGAGGCTTCGCCGGTGGCTCGGGGGTGCAGAATCTGCCCACCAGTGCAGGAGACACGAGTTCAGACCCGAGCCCAGGAAGGTCCCAGGCGCCTAGAGGAGCCAAGCCTGCGCCCCACACCTCCTGAGCCTGTGCTCTGGAGCCGGGGGGCTGCAACCACTGAGCCCGCGGGCCCGAGAGCCCGTGCTCCACAAGAGAAGCCCCGGCAACGAGAGGCCCGCCCAGCACACCCGGAGAAAAGCCTGGGCAGCAACAGAGATCCAGCGTGGCCAACACTAAATACGTGGTAAAAAAAAATTCAGCAACAAGAGATGTGCGCAGGAACATATCACCCTACTGTGGACGGGGAACCGAAGCCCTCCTCCATTCCTGTCTAAAACGTAAAACCCCGGGGATGGACCTGCACAGAGAATCGCAGGTGATCCCGCGGTGGCCCGCGTCCCCGAGGGGCGGGGCGACTCGGGAGAGCGCCTCCTGCCGCCGTCGCTGCTCTCAGCTCAGGTCTGTGAGCAGTGACCCCACTGCCCGCGTTGCAGCAAAATGCACGGACGCCTGCCCGACCGCGGCTGCTCATCCGGCTGTCTTCTCTCCTCCCCCCAAGGCTCCAGGGCAGCCCCACTCGGATGCGGAGGCCCCGGGGGGTCGGGTCCTGCCTCCCTGTCTGACCCTCCCTGCCTGAGGCGGCCAGCCGGCGGCTCTCGGAAGGCCTCAGGTCGCTTCTCTCACCCCTGACCCCTGCCGGCTGACACCATCCCTCTTCAATAATGGGGTGTTCCCTCTGGGCGGGGTGGTCCCTGTCCCTTCACCATGAGAGCCTGGGCAGCCCCCAGCCCCTCCCGCACCCCACTCAGACACTGCAGGAGGGGCTCACGGTCGCGGCAGGCATCCAGGGAAAAGCTCACCTTCCTGGTTCCCCAGGAGGAAGCCCCCAGGGGGGTGACTGTGGCCTGACTCACGCGTGACACCTAGGAGCATGGCCCAGGGCAGCTCGGCGGGCGCACGGCCTTCCACGTCCACGCACAGGGCGTCTGCCGCAGCTCCGCCCGCCCACGCGGCTCAGCAGACTCTAAGGCACGGCCACGGCCCCGACCCTGCGGAGACCAGCTAGGCCTCGGCCAGGCCCCCGAGCACCTGCCTGGCCAGACCCCGGCTTGGTCCCGTGGTCCCTTCAGCCACACGCAGGCTGCACCGGGTCCCGTGAGACGCCGGCCAGGTAACTGGGGAAGGGGCGGTTCCCAGGGCACCGGCTCCCTGGGGGGCAGCCTGGAAGGCTGTGTTTGTTTCCCTGTGGAGACACGCGGAGGGTTGACAAGTCGTGGCCCACTTGCCCATCCAGAAATCCAGGCAGCCCCTTCCTCCAGCCAGCGCCTCCCTGCCTGTCCAGATCTGTCATGGGGACGAGGTGTGGAGGCCTCCAGCTCAAGGTTCTCAACCCTAAAACACAGCGGGCCGAAGTCAACCAGCCCAGAGCCTGTCTCCAGGCCCCGCCCTCCCCACGGGAAGCATCCCGTTGCCCCGGGTGCCCAGCGGGCGGACACACCTCCCGAAGGCTGGGGCTGCCTGCTGCACACGGAAGTGCCTCCGTGGGGCCCGGTCTCCCCGCCTGCAGGACAGGGTGCCGCAACCCAGAGTGCAGAGCGCCGTGAACCCAGCACCGGGTGGGCAGGGGCAGGCCGCGCAGAGCACCCAGGCCTCCGTGAGCAGCCCTGCATTGCCGGGCAGCGTGTGGGTCTGAGTGTGTAGGAGCTGATTTCCTCTAAGGGGCGACCCCGACAGGACTGCAAAGAACAGGACTGGGTGTGAAGAAGCCGTGACACACGAGGATGCCGGCACGGGGAACCCCGAGGTCTGGGGCCCGTCGGGGTCATGGCCGTGCCTGGGGCGCTCAGGATTCCTTCCTCGACGAGGCCGTGGCAGCCAGCGGGCACAGCTGCCTTACCCCTTGGAGCCAAGAGCCAGCGGGCGGTGCCTCTGTGTGTCTGCTTCCGTCATCAGCACAGAAGGACAAGCACGCACAGCGGAAGGCAGCCTGCAGGACGGGGTTGGCCCGGAGGAGCCCAGGTGACGCTCAGACTGAGCGGGGACCCTCTGAAACGTGCACCAAATTACAGACACCGACCAGAACGTGCAGAATCTCCAGAGGTGGAAAGAAAGATGGAATCAGTGACCCTAACGCTGTCTGAGGTCATGACAACCCCAGGGGAGGCCCTGTCCCCATGACTTGGAAACAGGACTCTGACGTGTCCCCTGAAGGGCAGACCCCGGGACAAAAGGCCTGAGGCTCCCCCAGATTGCCACGGCCGAGCTGGTGGCCTCCCTGTCCCCAGTGTTTCCATGTATGAGGCAGTCTGCACATTAACACTAGACAAGCGTCAACTTCTACATGTAAAATGAATGTGCTCATGTCACTCAGAACCAAGGATTCCAGCACCAGAGGGCAGAGATACAGATACAGTGGTAAACAAGTAAAAAAAAATCTGAAGGAGAAGAGTCAGTGTGAAGTCATTTCTTTTCTCCTGAAAGAAAGTAGCTCCAGGTCCGTGAGCTGCAAAGGGAGATTAACGACCTGGGAACAACATGACCCACGACCAGCATCCCTCACCCAGGCAGGATGGGTGGACTCTATGCCGGACCCAGGGCCCCTTGGGACATGGGGGACCCCAGGCCTAGGCCAGAAACGCCACGGAGACGGAATCCCGTGTCCTGGCAGAGAGCCAGGCCGGTGGCCAGGGACAGCTGTGCTTTTCAGGTGGACTCGGGCTGAGCAGCCCACAGCCAGCGATGCATCAAGGGTCATCAGCCTGGATGAAAGCGGTCAGCCCTGTTTACCACGGACACCAGATCAGCCAGAAGGCCTGGGCCCTCATCTGAATACCGTGTCTGCAGGTGACCACTGGCGCTGCTTGTGGCTAGGGGGCAGATCGGGCCAATAGACAGAAGGGCCTCCCGGCAGGCAGAGACCCCACCATGCACGAAGGGCCCCACTTGGGTCCCGGGCACAGTGGTGCAGAGCTCAGGGCTGGCGTCAGCCCTGCCCGTGTGCCCAGGGACCTCGGACCCTGGGGGAACAGGGACAGGCACTTGGAGCTGTCCGTGGGGACCCTGGCCAGCTGAGGCTAAGGCGCCCACAGGAGGGGCGCTGTTGTCCCTGAAGGCACAGGCCCAGGGGGGGCCACGGCCCAGAGGCCCTCCCGCGGCCAGCAGGGACCCCGGGACCCCAGAGGAGCGTCTGCACTCCCGGGCCTGTGTTCTGTGCTGCCCGGCGCCCACCTGGGGAGGCTGTGAGGAGGGGCAGGGCCCAGGCCTCGAATCACAGGCCCGAGTTTCCTCTGGAACAAAATAATTACCACCTTCGCAGACAACCTGAGCTCGCTGAAAGCCAGGCGGAAGTCAGCTGAGAAGCGGAGGCACGTTTTTATTCAGAGTTGGGAGACAGCAACGCCTCTTCGGGAGTTGGTGATGGACAGGGAGGCCTGGCGTGCTGCAGTCCAGGGAGTTGCACAGAGCTGGACACGACTGAGCGACTGGCCTGAACTGCAAGCCTGCCTGGGACGCCAGGCCCGCAGATACAGCTCTGGAAGGGAGAAGCCCAGGAGGAAGTCGGAGCCTGGGGACAGGATCTGGCCGCCTCCGCCTGCGTGACCTGGCACGTGTCACGGCTCCGGCGGGGCGAGGTGGGGTGGCCGCCAGGAGCCAGGCTGCAGGGTTTCCGGGCTGGCTTCCTGGCCGCTGTCTTCCGTTCCCAGGAGAGTCACCTCAAGAGGCTGAAAGTGCTGCGGGGGCCCCAGCAGTGTGCGTAGCCTCCCTGCGCGGCAGGTAGCCGTCCTCACCCCGGACCCCCAGCCCAGCCGGACAGGGACGCAAGCTGCGCCCGCACCCACAGGGGCTGCTGAGTGGACAGAGGATGTGGTGGGCGACAGGGCGCCCCCTTGGAGCTGTGGGAAAGGCGTGGCGGGGGTGACGAGAGGAGGGCTCTGAGCACGGATGAGGCTGGAAGGCGCCTCCCGGGGCCTCGTGGGGAGAGGCAAACGGCCTCCCTGACGGCGGGGCTGCCGGTGCGGCCACGGGCCCGGGGCACCCGAGCCCCCAGCAGCTGGGGGAGGCTGGAAGACCCTCCCCGGAGCCCCGGGGAGACAACCTGGGTCTCGTGCTTGGTCTCTAGAGGTTCCTGCGTTTCCCGCTAGCCTGAGACAGGTCGTCTGGGACAGGGGCCTCGGGAAGCCACAGGGTGCTCTCCTCTCAGTAAGCCAGGAGCCGCCCAGGGAGGCACCGCTGCGAGACGCTGAAAGCTCCGGCCTGCGGGAAGCAGCCGCTCGGGGCCTGCTCGGCTCACGGGGAGCCTGTGAATTTCCCTCTGGGCTGAGAGGGAGGCACATGGCTCCGTGGGCCCACGCTGGTGGTCTCTCCCTGCCCTCGGGGACAGGCCCAGCTCTCTCCTGCCTCCGATGCTCATCTTCACCTGTGAGCTCCCTGTTCTAATCCCGGCTGCACGTCACCTCCTCCAGGAAGCCTTCCCAGTGCCCCGGTCCCAATCAGCTTCCTCACCAGACACTCCGGGGGAGGCCCTTGGCCCCTTTCAGCACATTCCTGTGTGTGATCACACGTGAATCTGGGGACGTGAGTCACAGCCCTCCCCCCGCAGAGCATCTGGTCCTGGGTGGGTCAGTGGGTGTGCGGGTGGGGAGGGAAGCGGTGACCACGGGGTCTGCAGGGAAGAGGCCAGGGGCTCACGCCATGCCTGTCAGGTGGGGGGCCTGCCCTGCCCTTGGGGCACCCCCGTCAGTCACACTTGCGGGGCTCTCGCCCCTGACCAGTGGGCACTAGGAGCTGCCCGGCCCATCCGGTCAGGAGCACAGCTCTGCCCCATGCGGGGGACGCGGAGGAGCCCGAGTACAGAGCCAGAAAGCTGCTGTGCACAGGTCCACTCACCCATCTCCACCTGGGGACACACGCTGCTGCCACCCTGAGACAGTCAGGAAGCTGGGGCTCAGACGGGGTGGGGTGGGGCCAGGGGCTGCGTCCGCTCCTGCTGGGTGCCCATTCCCCACTGTGGCACGCGGGGCTGGGGGCAGGACCTGCCGGCCTCCCTAGTGCCCTGGCTGCCGGCCCCAGACCAGCTGGGCAGCTCTCAGGATGCTCACGTGGGCGGGGCCTCCAGCAGCCCTGCGAGGGGGCAGGGTGTCTAGGGGTCGAGGTCTGGGCACGTGTCCCCCGCTCTGCGGGGCTCCCCTGAGTCCAAACCCCACGTCCCAGGACGGCCTCCATCAGCCCCCAGGGACCGCAGGGCCCTGGGCCGGGCTGAGGAGCAGCATGGGGCCACAGGACTGCCTTTACCAGCAGGCCCCCCCGGCCGAGCTCCCAGCCCCGGGCCCGCCCCCCAGCACCCTGCTCCTGGACACCCCGGCCCTGCCCTCAGCACTGCCGCAGGGCACCCCACCCGCATCTCACACAGGTTCTTCGGGGACCCCCTGGGCCTGCGCCAGCGCCCTCAGCTCACCCGGGAAGCCCACCTTCCCGAGCGAAGGCGGCTCCCTGTTTCCCCTTCAGAGAGCAGGCCAGACAGGCTGCCCTCCTGACACTTGAAAGCAAATGTGCCCACCGGAAGACCACCGACCCCACCCGAGGCGCGAGACCCCGGCTGGTTGACGCCAGCAGACCAACCACCTGGCTGGCACAAACCTCCGTGCAGTCTTTAATCCTCAAGAAACAAAACCTAAAAGCCCATCAAGCAAAACCACTTTGCTTTGGCGCCGAAAGGATTCAGCAACCCCCCCACCAAGCTTCCAGAGCCCCAGAACCCAGGCCCCCGCAGCAGGCAAACCTGTCTGGTGAGATTCCTCCTCTGCCTCCAGATAAACAGAGCAAGCCATGAACCTACGGGGCTGCCTTCTCTCTCACAGGGTGTGTGGGTGAGCCGCCCACCGCCCCAGGCCAGCGGGGCGCGGCCACAACAGAGAGATGCCGGGGAGATGGGAGACAGGGCATCTGGGCCTTCTCGGGGCCCCTCCCCACGGGGTGCCCTGACTGGAGACCCTCACTGGCTTGACGCCCCTGGGGTGGTGCCATGCCCACACCCCACACTGAGGCCAGAACCCATGGGGGACGTTCCGGGTTCATGGGAGGAGTCTGTGCCTGGAGTCCTGGGAGTACTCAGGAGCACAAGGAACGGGGGAGGGGGACCACAGCCCAGACGCGCCCCTCGTCCCTGCTTCTTCAGTCCTGGGACCCCGCAGCAGCCGGCCCAGCAGGGAGGCAGCACCAGCATTCCACAAACCCCTCCCGGGCCACCGGCTGCCCAGCCCCGAAGGCTGGCCTTGCCCAGGAAGTCAGCATAGACAGGTGGATGAGCAGGAGAGCCATGCCGGACGAGGTCACCCGAAGGTCCGGAGACGAGGGCAGAGGCCCTCGATGGACAGACGATGGACAGACCCCAACTGCGTCAGGGGCACCGGCCCGAGGCCCTGGGCCAGAAAGGGGCCACGGGCTGCCCCCCACTGGGGACCCCGACATGCCCACTGTGGTCCACCCAGATGGCCTGGAGCCTCGGGCAGCCACACCTGCCTGGAGCCAGCAGAGGAAGGGGCCGGCCCTCGGACAGGCTGGCCAGGGCCAGGGCTGGGCAGCATCAGACGCTGGCAGACCTCCCTGTGTCTCAGGCCCCAGGGGCGCTCACAGCACGTGGCTCCGCCCCTCACTGTTTCCCGACAGCCCACGAGGGGACCAGACAGGCCGCACAGTGGCCCACCCCACCTGGTGACACGCAGCTGCACCCGTGGGGACACCCCGGCCCCACAGAGGCTCCAGGTGGGGCCACGGCCGGGGGTCCCACAGAGTCCTCCCGGGGATGGAGACAGAGGCCATGGCACTGGCTGGGTCAGATCCCAGACACCCTCCAGGAGCCTGGAGCCACAAGTCCCAGGCACCACACACCGGCTGATGAAGGGGAGCCCCCCTGGCACCAGGAGAGGGCCGCTGGGCCACAGGCACCGCCTCTGGGGGAAGGCAGCTGAGCAACCTTCCTCCTTCCTGCGAAGTCGGACCCTTGGATGCACCTGCAGCGGGGGAAGGGCAGGAGGGAGACCACCCCGGCCGTCTGGGAAGGAATGAGAGACACAGCAAGCCCCTCCTGCGCCCACCCCAGCCACCCGTCAGCCACAGCTGCTGCCCCGGACCACTCCCCTTTCTCCAAAAGGCAAATGGAAGAGCAAGCAGATCTTTCATGGCCTTTGAAAAATGGCCACAAAACATAAACTAGGTCTGCTCTCTGCCCAGGTGGCTGACGACTCGCCTGCTCTTAAAGCACCTCTTCTGTGACCCAAGACGTTGGGGGGACATTGCTAGCAAGCAGGACGATCTTAAGACCACCCGTTTCGGAGCGGCAAGCCAGCCTGGCCAGCGGCATCCCTCACCCCGGCTCACTGAGGCCCAGCCCCGGACGCAAGCTCAGGCCAGCAGGAGAGAGGCAGCCCTCCACGCGCACACTCACCTGGCTGGGAACACGGGTTACGTTTCGAACTGGGTTAAGAGCTCCCTTATTTCTGGGGCCACGTGCTGGGCGGCATTGGCAGCCTCTGTGATAGCTTTCCGATACATCCCCTTCTTCTTACGGTTAAATCTCAGTTTGAAAAATTCAGAGAAAGGGGACAGTTTTGAGATAGACAAAAATGACGTAGTTGGAGAACCAAACCACGAGACTTTCGCTTCTTGCCAGGAGGGCTCCCCATCCTCCTTCTGGCTAAGACTAATGTCCAGGACACGTGCTGGCCACCAAGGGAAGCCGTGAACCTTACCCCACACGATGTCCCCTACGGCCACGGTCCTCCCGTCCTCGGTAACGCACTTGGAGACGCTCTGCGTGTGCAGCCTGACCGTCAGGGGCGGGACCGTGGGCCTCGCACCCTTGGAGGAAGAGGGCACAGACACGCCATCGCCGGGGGAGAAGTCGCAGGCGTCCAGCGACGTCACGTCCGAGCCGGACGACTTGGACTCATCCAGGCTGTCACTGCTCCACGCCAGCTCACCGGCACAGCCGCTTCTACCGGGGCAGGTGGCGAGGAAAGCCAGCCCGGCGTCATCGTCGGGCCCGTGGGCCCCTCGGGGACACCCCTTGCAGTCATCGTCTTCGCCAGAGCTGGCGGAGGACGAGTCCGCCAGCCCGCCGCGGTGGGCGGCACCTTCGGCCGGGGGCCCTCGGCCCTTGAGTTCCTGCACCAGCTCGGCCCTGTAGATGGGCTCCTGCTCGCCGGCCCCCAGCCGGCGCGGCTTCAGGCGGATCTTGGGGGGCGGCGGGGCGGCCCCAGGGGGCAGGGGCCGGGTCAGCTTCAGCTTGGGGATGGAGGTGGGGGCGCCCGCGGCCGGCCGGTCCCTGGGAGGCTCTGGGTCCGGGCCTCCGGGTGAGGCCGGGGGCGGACAGAAGGGCTCCAGGGAGCCGTGCACTCGCGGGGGGATCTCCACCACCTCCCCGGTGCCCTGGGGCGTGCTGTAGGAGATCTTGATGGCCGGGCTCCGTGGCACGCCGGCCCGCGCCTCCTTGGCCGCGGCGTGGCGGGCGGCCCGGGGCTGGCCTCCGGGGGGCTCTGGGTGTTCTTGCACTTCTCACAGAGCACTCGTCGCGGCCGCAGGCGGATGGGGCTCAGGGCCAGGCGGCCAGGGTCGCGGTTGCGGGACAGGCGTCGGCGGGTCCTCTTGAGGCCCCGGGGGGGCGGCTGCGGCACCCACTGTCGATACGTGTTCCTCAGCCAGAGCGGGGGCGGGAAGGGGGCGCCTTCGAAGTAGGGCGGGAACGGGGGCAGGCTTCCGGCCGGCAGCGGCGGCACCAGGGGCGGGGGCGGATCGGGGCTGGTGGTCTCGGGGGGCCGGTCCCCATGGGCAGGCGCCAGCGGGCCCGTCCCCAGTGGCATGGCCTCCGCGTCTCCCTCCGCGGGGGCTGGGCCGTGGCAGCCGTTGACAGGGGCGTCCTGGGCCTGGGTCAGCGGAGCCAACGGGGGCAGTCCGAAGAGGCCGGACCTGGTTGTGGGGAGACAGAAAGGGGCGGTCAGCACAGGGAGGACCCCGCCGCGCCCAGCCCCCACACGGGGGTCGGGGGCAGCAGGATCTCCCGGCTTTAACAGAGGCACGCCCCCCAGCACCCGGGGCAGCCCAGGCGTAGGCCGCCTGCTCTGAAATCAGGCGATCGGTATCAAGCCCACGGCCCACGGGCACTGAGCGTCCACGCCTCGGTTCCTGGAACGAGGGGAACTCACAGCTGCAGACCTGGAGGCCTGGGAAGCCGGCGAATGGAGCCTCCGTTCCTGGACAGGCTTGGCCCAGCCTTCCGGGAACCGGCCATCATGTGGTCAGCGGCCCCTGCCCACAGCCCTTATCTGCTCACCCCCTCTTCCCTGAGGGCAACACTCCCAGAAGGAAGACCCCGACTGCGCCCTCAGGGGGACCTTCAGCTCCAGGACAGCCCACAGGACCGGGGTCCCTGGTGCAGAGTCTGGGGGTGGGGGCCACTCACGGCCAGGCCCAGCAAGCCCCGGGCCTGAGAGTCAGCCCGCTCCCCCCTGAATGCTGCTTGCAGGTGAGGGTACCCTCCCAAGGCCGCCCGTGCCCACCATGACCTGGAAGGCCCACCCCTCCGTCCTGCAGGTCCAGAGAAGGCAGGAGGCCCCCCTCCCACAGGGACCCACAGCTGAGGCCAAGCACGTGGCCAGCACCCCAGGGCTCCCCAGAACGGCCCGCACTTGCTTCGAATGGCTTCAGGGCATCACCCTTCCAGAGTGCTGGCCAGCCGGCCTGCATGCTGGGGACGTCTGAAGTCACATCTCATGAGTGAGCCGCTCCTGAAGCAGCAGGAAAACACTGCTCCAAACAACGAGAGCCAAGCCCAAACAGGCTACACCTCCCCCAGCAGTGACACACAACTTCCAAACACATGCGATTCAGTTTGTAACACTGCTTAAGCTAAAAGCTGTTAGTTTTCATTTTCCAGCACAGAACAGACTTTTAGACAAGAGTTTAGAATACTGCACCTCCATCTCTCCCTCCCTTGTGTAATTCAATCGCAGCAGAAAAGATATGTGAGCTTTGCTGCTTCACTGTTTCCAAGTGACTTCTGCTTCTACTGTTCCCCAGAAGAACCAAGGCTGCTAAGATCGACCGACTGGCCATGGCAGCTCTGTCTGCAACCAGGTGGCCCCAGGCACCTGTGGCCGGAAGGCTCCTCCCTGCCATCCAGGGGGTGGGTGCCCAGGGACACAGGGAGGCTGGGAGCCGGGTGCAGGCTACTCGACAAGCGTGGGCCACAGAGGCGGGCAAGAGGGCTGCATGCAACAGGACTGAGCGCAGTGGCCAAGGGCCCACGGCCACCCTGACAGTCCGACACGGGAGGGCACGTCTGACATGAACGCCGTCCAAGTTCTGTTGAATCCAAGGTCACCAGTAAATGCCCAGTGCTGTGCGCTGCACTAAGCTGCTTCCATCACGTTCAACTCTTTGCAACCCTGTGGACCGTAACCCAGCAGGCTTCTCTGTCCATGGGAGTCTCCAGGCTAGACTACCGGAGAGGGTTGCCATTCCCGATGCCAGGGGATCTTCCCCACTCAGGGATTGAACCTGAGTCTCTTACATCTCCTGCATTGGCAGGTGGGTTCTTTACTGCTAGCGCCACCCAGGAATCACATCAAACTTTATCAAGTCTAAAAGTGAAGTCGCTCAGGCATGTCTGACTCTTTGTGACCCTAAGGGCTGTAGCCTGCCAGGCTTTTCTGTCCATGGGATTCTCCAGGCAAGAACACTGGAGTGGGTTGCCATTTCTTTCTCCAGGGGATCTTCTCAACCCAGGTATNCCGTGAGCCCTGCCCTGGGGTGCAGGTCCCCCTGAGCACGGGGCTGCGGCCCAAAGGGGGTGCCTCCCTCCAGACGGCAGGCGGCCTGGGACTGCGCCGTGGCCGGCACGGCAGGCCCCGTGACTGGGGCACTTCCTTCCCGGAGCAGCTGCCCGGCCCCGGCCACACCCACGCCTGCCGGTGGGTAAACAGGGCCAGCGGGACCCTGGCTGTCCAGCCATGGGCCGCGGGCAGGGTCCCGTCTACAGCCCCATGAGGCGCCCTGGTCACCATCCCAGCTCTCGGCTGGGACAGGGAGGCTGGGACAGGCCGGGGGGTGGGCAGGGTCTGTGCTTGCCCCCCAGCTCGGCTGCCCCGGGGCACAGAGACGGCTCCAGCCCAGGCCGCTCTCTCAGGGAAGGACCTCAGCAGCCTTCCCCCACGGGGCGCCTCTTGGACCCCCGGGCACAAGCTGTGGCGCCACTGAGGTTTGAGCATGACGGTGGGGCTGGGTCCCCAGCAAGGCCGGGCTCCACCCACATGGGCCTGTGCTCAGGGACGGAGGTGCAGCTGGCCTGGCAGAGCCCCGCGGCGACACTGCAGGGCCTGGTGGCAGAAGGTGGGGGTCCCTGGGGCCAGAGACACGGTCTGCCAGGCCCCACTGTCCGCCCTCTGCTGTGCTGAGGTCTGAGCCCACTGGGACTTCCAGGTGCTGCCCCCGAGGTGGAGAGGAGGAGCCGGGAGCAGGGCCTGGGGGCTGGGGAGACGCGCGGGTGGAGCCCCGCTTTGACCAGGAAGCCCAAGGGGGCCTGGAGCAAACCGCAGCCCCGTGTCCTCAGGGAGCTGTGGGAGGGACAGAAGACTGCGAGGAGGGGCAGGGGACAGAGCCAGGGTGAGAAAGGGGGAAGTTTGCACAGGCGGCTTCGGCCGTGAGGCTTATCGGGGTCAGACCCCAAAGCAGAATAGCACTGCTCCCGAGGGGATAGGAGACAGAGCGCCCAGGGTCTCCCACTGCTCTGTCCAGGTGAGGGCGTGGCCGCCCGCAGGGACACAGGGGCCTGGCCTGCCATCCTCGGTGCCACAGCAGGGGCCAGGCCTGCGCTCACCCTCATCCTGGGGTCTGTGTGGGGCACCCCCAGAGCTGCCCTGGTGGGCCCACGGCCAGGAGGAGCCGGCCAGGCAGCCTGCTGGAGTGCGAGAGCCCCTAAACGCCCACCGCGACCTCCCCGCCACAGGCCTGGGGCCTGGCAGCAGCCTCTGAGCCCAGCCGGGTTCCCTGGACCTTCCTGCCTCGTCCTCCCCCGGGGAGAGACCACCCTGGTGCCCCGCGAAGGAGACCAGGCTCCTGGAACAGAGCGTCCCCGGGGACCACCCCGGGCCAGGCGTCCAGGGAAGCCTCCTGCAGTGGACGCCCGTGCGGGCAGAGCCCACAGGCCCGTGCCTCCAGGCGGGGCCCACCCTGAGGCCGGCTGAGTGCCCCAGCACTGGTTCAGAAAACACACGGCAGCTTCTCTCTCCCACAGCCCTGCCAGACAGACGGCCGGCCTCAAGGCCGGAGCCCGGGGCAGGGGAGGGGCGGGCACTGTGGAAGAGGCGGGCAGACAGGCGCCAGGCTGCCCTGAGGGCCACCTCTGCTCAGGGAGCGGGGAGACAGGAAGTGCAGCCTGGACTCCAGAGGGGCCCTCCCCAGGGCCACACAGGGGGCCCTGACCCCCCAGAGTCACACAGGGGACCCTGCCCCCCCAGAGTCACACAGGGGGCCCTGCCCCCTCCCCCAGGGCCACACAGGGGACCCTGCCTCCTCCCCAGGGCCACACAGGGGGCCCTGACCCCCCAGAGTCACACAGGGGGCCCTGTCCCCTCCCCCAGGGCCACACAGGGGACCCTGACCCCCCCAGAGTCACACAGGGGACCCTGCCTCCTCCCCAGGGCCACACAGGGGGCCCTGACCCCCCAGAGTCACACAGGGGACCCTGCCCCCCCAGAGTCACACAGGGGGCCCTGCCCCCTCCCCCAGGGCCACACAGGGGGCCCTGCCCCCCCAGAGTCACACAGGGGACCCTGCCCCCTCCCCCAGGGCCACACAGGGGGCCCTGCCTCCTCCCCAGGGCCACACAGGGGACCCTGACCCCTCCAGAGCCACACAGGGGACCCTGCCCCCTCCCCCAGGGACACACAGGGGACCCTGCCCCCTCCCCAGGGCCACACAGGGGACCCTGCCCCTCCCTGAGGACAGCAACATAGGATATCTGCCCCAGCTGCTCCCAGGGTCTTGCATCCAGGGTTTCAGAACATTCAGCATCATCCCAGTGCAACTCAGCTGTGTCCCACTCACCTCTCCGAGGCCCCCAGAAGCCTGAGGCCAGGCCCACCCAGCCCCCCTCCCGCCTTGGAGCAGCTCCAGAGATCAGCCATGCCAGCCTGGTCCCCTGGTGAGGCTTCTGCCCGCTGGCTGCAGGTCATGCCACCCTCTGATGCACTGGGCTCCCCCACCCTCCAGCTCCCCGAGGGTGGGGGAAGAGCCGGTGGGGCCTGGGCGGGTGGGCCCAGGATGGAGCAGGGGCGCTCCCATGCCCAGGGACCAGCCGGGCGGGGATTCTTGGCTGGTCTCCAGAGGCTGTCTCCAGAAGCCTCGGATGCCACCCCCGTGAGTGACTGAGTGAGTGACAGTTGCTCAGTTGTGTCCAGCTCTTTGCGACCCCGTGGACTGGAGCCCACCAGGCTCCTCTGTCCATGGAATTCTCCAGGCAGGAGTACTGGAGTGGGCTGCCATTTCCTTCTCCACCCCACCCCTCTGGGAGGGTCACAAAGGCCTGCAACCAACCTTTCCAGCAGAGGGGCCCAGGAGTCTGCGTGGTGATGGCCGGGGGATTCACACTGGGAAGTTTAAGAAACCCCAGCTCAGAGGTCGAGGCCAGGCCTGACAGGCAGCTAGCCCTCACGCCTCGTCTGGGGACCCCCTCTCTTCACTACTCAGAGCCTTCACTGTCTTTGGCCACCCCACCTGAGGTCCCTGAGCAGAGGCACACCCCCAAGTCGCCTACGAAACAGTGCCCACATCCGCCTGGACCCTGGCCTGGAGACAGGAGCCACGGCGGCGTGGCAGGCTGGGCCGTCTGCATCCCAAGTGTCAGGACAGCCTCTGCCCAGCGGAGACGCGGGGGAGTGAGGCTGAGACTCAGGCTGTCTCCTCGCGCACACTGACTGGGTGTGGACACAAGAGTCCCCGACGACCTGGCTTCAGCCCACACGGCAGCCGGGCAGCAGGTTCCAGGCTGGATGAAGGGGGCATTGGGCACCGAGCGCCTCCCACCCGCCGGGACCTCGGCCTGGCCTCCGAGGACACACGCATGTTCAGCTCAGGGCCCGCAGCGAGGGGCACCGTCTCCCGAGTGCCATCAGATTAATACTGGTAGCTGGGCCCCCTGTGAGAACTGCCCGTCCCAGAGGACGCCCCCAGCTCTGCCCCGCGTGCTCCAGCAAGGCTAACGCATGGCGGTGACTGGCCCGTGCCCCACAGGGGCACTGCGGGCGCAGTGGCCTGCTGACCTGGCCCAACCCCGCACCAGCCCGCTGCTTGGGGACCCGCAGGACCGGGAGGGGGGCGGTGCCTGCAATATGAGCCCCCAGCTGCTCTCTCTGCCCGTCAGTGCCCACGCCCGCCCGGGAAGAGGCCCGACCGGCTGGCCTTGCCCCCGTAGTGTGGGGGGGAGGGGGAGGGCTCCAGGGAAGGCAGGTGGGTGCTGGGGACTCTGAGGCCTGAGGCCAGGCCCCCTCTGCCAGGGACACCCAGCCCAGGTCTCTGGACCCTGCCTGACAAGCTGGCTGTAAACTCGAGTACTGCAACTCATAATATCATGGGAGAAAACCAGGGTCAGGATGAAACTGAAGGTGACCGCAGAGGAGAGGCGGGGTCGGCAGGCGCAGGGACGGCTTTGGGGCCAGGCTTCAGACAACCGGGGGGCTGGGAGAGGCCAGGCTAAGCCTCAGACTCTCTGCAGGGACTGGGGGGCCTACTCAAGCCAGAAAGGGGCGCTGCCCAGCTGAGCTGTGCCCACCGAGGCCCAGCCCCTGGCTCCGTGGGTGGCTCCGGTTACAGCCTCACGTGGCCGTGGTAGGGCGGACGCCCACACGCCCTACAGCTGCCAGTCCCCATGCTGGGATCCCAGCAGAGCCTGCTTCCTCCACGAGGGGGTGGGGAGCGGGTGGGGGGCAGTGCAGATCTCCAAAGCAGGGCATCCACAGGCCGCAGGGCCCGGAGCCCTGGCTGGAGGCAGAGAGCAAGGGCAGCGAGCCTGCAGCCTCCACAGACACCCCTAGCCACGAGTCTACCCTGCAGCCTCCTTTGTCCTGAGTCGGGGAGCCCAGAAAATGGGGTTGGGGGGGCTGTTCCTGCAAGTGCCCGCTGCCGAGAGGAAGGGCCAGGCAGGGCTGTGCAGGAAGGCTGGAGTGCGGCCCTGCTTGACGGGGAAGTGCCGGCCACAGGCAGCAGGGGACCTCAGCCACCCCAGGGCGCAGGCTGCGCCCTCCCGAGGGGCTTTGCCTGCAGCCTGCGGGGTCACCGGGTCCCACCAAGCCCTCTCTGCAGTAGCTGGCTCCCAGCAGGGCGGCAAGGCACCTGGGAAGCCATATGTTAAATCACATGACTTGTGCGTAAATGGCTCTGGCACATCTAATGAGGAGATAATGCCAGCGGGGTGACTGTTGAAAGGTGACAGTCCTCCCACCACATCCACGCCGCGGGCACAAACCCGGCCTGCACCGAGGGGCGAAGGCGGGCCTCTGCAGAGGGGAGGTGGTTTAGGCTAAGGCCCAGCCAGAACCTCGAGACATTAGTGCCTGATTAATGCCTAATCATTTATCTGCGCGACAGCTCGCTGCCATGTGACACTGTATCCAGGAGACTCTTTCCCGCAGCAGAGCTCCCTGCCGCCGGCGCACAGGTGCCTCTCAGCGTGGACTTGCCCCAGGCCTGCCCGGGGACCCCTCCACCAGGGACGCCCGGCTCCCTCGGGGCGCCCCCTCGCAGTCCTGCAACTCGTCTCTTTGCATCCCTGCCCCGCCTGGGGGCTCCTAACCCCAAACAGTGTTCTCACATCCCGCTGCCGGACACAACTGCTCGCCCCCTGTCCTCACCTCAGCCCCGACTGCGCCCGGGAGCCGGAAGAGGGCATTTCAGGGCCCGCGGAACCCCCTCTTGTGAGTAGCCCCTAGGCAACTGCGGCAGCACACGGGAGCCCCCCCGCCCCCCCGCAACGGATGACAATTCTGAACAGAGCCGAATTCAACAGTGCGTCTGAACAAAGAAAAGTGCGTTAATTATGGCAGACGTGCGGAGTTACGAGCCGGCATCGCGGCGGCGGGTGCGGGGCCTCGGGATCCACGCGCCGCGCCCGGGCTCCAGCCTGCCGCCCCCGCCGTCCCCCGCCCGGCCGCGCGATCCCCCGCCCGAAAAGTCGCGACGACTTTGAGAACCACTTTTGCCCCCCGAGCGGCGGCCGCGCTCGCGCATCCGTGCGGCCTCCACACCCGGCGCGGAGACGCACTGCGGAGCCCCACCGAGGGGGCAGGATGGGCCGGGATGGGGCAGGGCCGCGCTCCACCCCCGGCGACGCCGGCCGCGAGCGCCCGCCGGGAGGATCTGAGAGCCGGCGCCGGGAAAACGCCCGGGCCCCGGCCCCAGGGACCCCTCCCCGCCGGCCGGGATCGACCAGGGGCGCCTGCCCCTCTCTGCCCCACGGTGTCTCCCCACTCTCCTCTCCCCGGCCCTCGCTTCTCGAGTCCCCGGGTTCCCCGCCTTCGGGTCTGGCGCTGGGGTAGCCACCCGGGCGCTGCGGGGAGGAAGTCCCGGCGGCGCGAGCAGGAAGCCCGGTGGGCCGGCGCGAGGAGGCGCGGGGCACCGAGGGGACACGGCGGCCGCCGCAGCCGCCAGGGGAGCACTTGACGCCCCGTGTGCTCGGCGCCTCTCCGGGTGACGGGAGAGCGCGCGCTCGGCCCCGGGTTGCCTGCCGCGGGCTGAGGGAGAGTGATTTGCCCTCAAGTCTAAGTCGCATGGCGGCGGGGAGCGGGTTCGGTGCGACCCCCGGTGCGGCCAGGGCGCCACGCGGCCTGGTCACAATGGGAAGGACAGCCTTCCCGAGCGAGAGCGGGGCTCGCTGGCACGCCAGCCCGGCCGCGGGTAGGGGGAGGAGCGGAGCGGACGCGGGACCCCAACCGGCGAGCCTTCAGCCTGGCGCCGGTTCTTGACTTTGCCGAGCACTTGAGCGTCCCGCACGCGGCTCGGGCCCCTGGGCCGCCCTCGGGAGCCGGTCTGTTGCAGTGACCTTGCCCTTAGCGCGGCCCGGCCTGGTCCCCTAAGCCGGGATCGCGGCGCTCGACTGGACACCCGAGAAGGGCTGGCGGCCGGTTGTCCTGACGACCCGGACGCCGCCTCTGGCCGGCCCCGCCCCTCCGAGGCGGCCAAGGCCCGCCAGGCTCGGACCTGCGCCTGGGCCGCCATCCCTGGCGCCGCCGCGGACAGTGGGGCCGCCGCGGCGCCGCTCGGCTTCGCCCCCGGGCTGCCTCGCTGCGCGGGGGAGCCGGCTGGGAGGAGTTCGACCTCGCAGCGCCAGACCGCCCTGCGTTGTACGGGCTGGGGATTGAGACCTGGGAGCTAGAGTCCGGCCCCAAGCACCCTCGGGGAGGTCTGAGGCTTGGGTTCCCGGAGATGCCCGCCTGCCGCTTCCTCGCCCAGGAGGCCTCGGGCAGTGCTACCGGTTGCCCCCTCTGCAGGTCGGTTGCCCCCTTCTCGTGACTGCTCTCCACACCCCCGGCTTCTGGAGCCTGCTCTCTCCAGAGCTGGGAATGGCTGCTTTGGAGCAGAAAGGCCAGGCAACAGGGACCCCTGCTGGCCCTGGGAAGGGGGCCCGACCAGAGGCTGCCCGCCGGCTCAGCACTGGCGCCAGAGTGCTGGAGACGCCTTCTGGGCGTTGCCCTTCCCGGGCACCAGGAATGGGGCAGCGCGGGTGTGAGTCAGCTCCGAGCTGGCGGGGGCACCCCCGATGGGAGCGTGCCAGGGTGTGCACGGAGGAGTGTGTGCAGACGGTGGTGTCCAGAGATAGAGCTGCCAGCAGGCCTCCCCCTGATGCAGAAGGGGCCCCAGAGTCTTTTGCAGGGCTACAGCGCTGGGTGTGGGGGTGCACGGAGGGGGGGGAACCTCTGAAAGGGGCCTGGGGTTGGGGCGAGGAAGGGGGCTTCTGGGGTAACTCCTAGGTGTCAGCAGAAGCAGCCACTTGGGGTGGAGAGGCAGGTACACCCGAGGATGAGCTGGGCTTTGGGGGCAGCGATGGGGCAGTGGTGTGTGTTGGGGGCAGGGGGCCCCGGCGGGGGGGAGCCCAAGGACCACGCCCGAGCTCCCAGTTTCGAGGGGGCAGTGTCGCGGAGCTGAGAGGGGACAGGACTTATGAGAAGGGTGACCTGCCCCGCTTCCTCTCGGCTTGGGACTCAACCTGTCCATGTGCCAGGTATTTTTAAGTGAGCATGGAAGCCATTTTTAAAAACCCCATCTCCACAAGGTAGGATAGTGAAAGGAGAGTCAGCTGACTGGCAAATTGATTTGCATTTTAAAGGGTGGCTGCGCTGGACCTTGCGGGCAGGCCCCTCCTGCCTGCCAGCTCCCTGCGGGCTCCCCGCCTGCATCCTGGTTCCTGGAAGTCCCGGGGAGTTTCCTGACACCCTGGCTAAAATGCAGCGTCCTTCAGAGCAGGCTGATCAGCCCCGGGGTCCCCAGGCCACCGCCGCCTCCTCACCCGTGCCCCCCCTCCAGGCCCGCTCCCGGACTGCCCGGTGCTGAAGGCCCCTCGGGGCTGGGAGGGGCTTCTGAGTGGCTCTGACTGAGGGGAGCCGGGCCAGGAGCCTCTCCCTCGGTCTCCAGACTTTGACCTAAAGCTGTCACTCCTTGGTTGTGGGCACACAGCCACTGCCAGTCCTGCCCGGCACCCGGCCCTTGGCCTGGTCTGCCTGGGGTGCCAGGAGAATGACCCAGGCTGGCTGGCCTGGCCAGATGGGCAGGGAGGTGGCCTGCAGGGGGCAGGAGATGGTCCAGCGCCCACTAGGATGGAGTCAGGTGACCACAGGCTGGCAGGAGGCCCGCAGAGGCGCTCCGGGCAGTGGCTGGCTCAGTGTCAGCCTCCCCCGAGGTCCTGCGCTGGTCCTTGGAGGAGCCCAGGACCCACCAGGTGGCAGCCTGGCCCCTCACTCCCTGACCGCCTGCCAGTGCACCCATCTCCCGGGTGACCCTGCAGCCTTGGCCCACAGGAGAGGCCCTGTGCGCCGTGGGACATAATTGCGTCTTTGCCATCCTGTCTCTCCCACGAGCTGGGAGACTCCCCGAGCCTCCGTGTGCCCGGAAGGAGTGGCTTGTTGAGGGTTTGCCAGGTCAGGTGGCTGGTGCCCCGCCCTGCCCCCCGCCCCCACCCCACCTCATGCCCGGGCCTCCTGCCACTTCCTTACTGAAGCTCCCCTGGGCAGCCTGGCAGGCGGGCCTCCTGCAGCCCAGCCCAGTTCTCCCAAGGCCAAGTGCTTCTGAGGTGGAGCCAGGGTGCCTGGTTGCAGGAGGACCTCATGCCGGAGCCATGGGTCAGCAGTCATGATTTCCCCAGAGCCAGTGCCCAGAGCGCCAGGGTGTGAGAGCCGGGAGGGGCCCAGATGCTCCTCGCGCAAGTCAGTCCTGGCAGTTAGGGCTGGGAGGAGGAGACTACGGCCTGGGTGAGGGTGATGACTTCACCGAGCACCGCTGACCCCCACCCTCCTCGGCCCAGGGCCGGAGCAGAGCCTCGTGGCCATCATCGTCATCATCTCCTCCCCTGTAGGTCACAAAACCCGTTGGAAACTTGTTCTGTTCTGTTCCAACCTGGAAGCCCTGGGTCTGTAAGACTGATTTCTTTCCATCTGACCAGCCTGGAGGGTCAGGCCTAGAGCCTCCAGCCCACTCTGTGGATGATGAGGGTGATCATCGTCTCAAAGGCCTGGCTGCAAACAAACCTGCCAGGACTCCACTGGAGGTTCTACAGAGTTGGTCAGGAGCGCGGGCTCGGGCCCGAGGGCTGGGGTCCCGCTGTGCAACCTTGGGGAGTCTGCCTCAACCCCTGTGCCTCGGTGTCTTCATCTGAAATGTGGGAGCCCGACAAGACGGGCTTGCTGTGGAGATTAAATGAGTTTTTATTATACATGATGTGCTTAGCACAGCACCAGTTCCTAGTAATGAGTCTATAAGAGTTATCTGCTATCATCCTCTTCACCATCACCACTGTTGTGACCACCATCACTCCCACCGTCATAATCATCACCACCATTGTCATCACCGTCACCACCATCTCCACCATCACCAACACCAGCAGCACGTTCTCCCTGTAGCTGGGGTGTCTCCTCTGCATCATCCGACCCCACCACTGGTACTGAGCCTGGTCCGGTGGAGATGCTGAAGGGCCCTGGCAGGGGGTCTGGTCCCACCTAGAGGCCTTTCCCGTAAGCCACCTGCCCTGTGACCTGGCCCCTCTGCACCCGTGCCCAGGTGCCCATAGAGGCCTGAGAACCCAGTGCCCCTGGCCCCCTGACCCCAGCCCAGCACAGGGCTGGGGGCACAGAGGGGCTGGGGGCACAGGACGTGGGGCCCAGGGCGGGGGTGGCCAGAGCTTGGACAGGCCCAGAGTGGCCTCCTCCTTCTGGGAGCTCAGCCCTCCCAGGGAAGGAACAGTGGCCGATGGTTTTGTGCCGGGGTGGGCGGTTCTTCCCTGAGCCCTGCTCTGCTCGGGCTGCTCTCCAGCCTGCCTGGAGACCATCAGCAGCTATTCCTAGGTGGCAGGAACACTGCCCTGGGATATGCAGGCAGGAAAAGCACCACACAGCCCCCCAAGCCCAAGGACTGCTCATCCCCCCAGAGCAGCGGGCTCCCTGCCCTGCGGGGATGGCCGACACGCGAGGATGGGGGACAGGCTGCACCGCTGGGGCCTGAGGACACTCCGCCTCCGCCCTTAGGCCAGAGGAGGGCCCCCAACAGGCACGGCGTCCCCGAGCCAGGATGTGTGTCCACCTTGGGCCCACACCCACCTCGGGATGCCGGCAAGCACCCAGGACTTCACGTGCGCCCACAGGGCCCGCAGCGAAGGTCCTGGCCACACCCGCACACCACAGCCTTCCGAGCAGGGCCGCGGGATGACGCCCCTGGGCCGGCCGGTGGACAGTGCAAGGGGAGCTGAGGGCGCCGCCTCGGGTTTGACCAGGCTCCTGGGGAGCGGAAAGGCCCTGTACTCCGGACTTGCAGCTCCTGGACTGTGTGCCAGGAGGGATGCGGGGGTCTTGTTGCAGTGGGAGGCGCCCTGCTCTTGTGGCCCCGCGCTGGCCAGCAGCTGCGCTCTGGGCGAGGCAGGACCCGGCTGACCTGTGGCCCTGCAGCCCGGCCCGCGTCCGACTCACGGCGCCACCTGCGGGGGACCTCGCAGCAGGCCTGGGCCAGGCCGCTGAGCAGCCCTGATGGCTCCCCTGGCCAGGCCGCGCGGCGGATACACCCGGCCTCTGCACCCCGGGTTCCACCTTCCCCGCGGGATGCTCCTCCCCGGACCTGCCTGGGGCCGGCCTGCGGGAGACAAGAGCAGTCAGGCCTGCTGCCAGGGGTGCAGTGGGGGTAAGGAATGAGCAGACACCACCCGGGGTGGGCGGGGCAAGGGCGCGAAGGACGGAGGGCATCCCCCGCCTGGACGCCCGGATGGCACAGCGGGTGCCGCCCCGCCCACACACTCTGAATCTGAATCCCGGGAGCAGGCCGCCCCCAGCAGCCTGGCCCCTTCCGGGCAGTGAGAGCTGCTGTCCGAGGCATCTTGGGGAGCCAGGCCTGCTCTGGTAGAGGCAGGATGAACACAGGACAGGCCATGAGGCGCCTGGGGAGGGGCCGCCCCCTGGCTCCCAGCCTCAGGCCAGGCCAGCCTGCCTGCCTCCCTGAGTCAGATGGTTACCGGTCCCGCCTTGAGGGCAGCGGTGAGGGGACACCTGGCCAGGGTCTGGGGGCCGCTGCTCATGCCTCGGGGGTGGGCCTGGTCTAACCCTGCCTCCCTCCTGAGGAGGGGAGCGTGGGGCTCCGCACAGCAGAGGGCCAGGCGGCGGGCGGTGGAGTCCACGCAGGGCACATGGGCACGTGTGCTGTGCTGGTTTGCGGCCCGAGCCTCAGGGAGGCCTGGGGGCCGCTGCTCTGCCCTTGTGAGCCCTGACAAACCTGAAGAGGGCGAGGCATCCACCACAGAGGCCGCGTGGGGGAACCATGAACCGTGGAGCGCGCCGGGGAGACGGGCAGTGATGAGAGAATCGGCCCAAGGAGGCCCGGTGACCCAGGAGCGGCCACACACACCGTTCAACAGACAGTAAGCTGCCCGCCCCCGCCACCATCCGTGGCCTCTGTAATCTGCATTGGGGTCTCCCGGCCGCGGCAGGACCAGATCCTTTAGTGCCATCTGGAAGTCAAACTCCCCACATCTCAAGCTTCGTAAAAAAATCACTGCTGTAAGAATGACTTAGAAACAGCATAAAAGTCAAAGACTGTCAGATGGTGGGTTGTTTTTTTAAATAATAGAACAACTCAGCATTAGCAAGTTCAACATAGTCATATAGTATTGTTTAACTGTGGAATTAGAAAAATGATACAGATGAACTTATTTGCAAAGCAGAAATAGACACAGACATAGAGAACAAACATGCCGACACCCAGGGAAGGGGGGTGTGGCAGGATGAACTGGGAAATTGGGATTGACATACATACGGTACTCAGTGTGAAATACATATGATGCTGAAGCTCTAATACTTTGGTTAGAACCAGATATAGAACAACAGACTGGTTCCAAGTAGGAAAAGGAGTATGTCAAGGTTGCATATTGTCACTCTGCTTATTTAACTTCTATGCAGAGTACATCATGAGAAACGCTGGGCTGGAAGGAGCGCAAGCTGGAATCAAGATTGCTGAGAGAAATATCAATAACCTCACATATGCAGATGACACCACCCTTATAGCAGAAAGCAAAGAGGAACTGAAGAGCCTCTTGATGAAAGTGAAAGAGGAGAGTGAAAAAATTGGCTTAAAGCTCAACATTCAGAAAACTAAGACCATGGCATCCGGTCCCATCACTTCATGGCAAATAGATGGGGAAACAGTGGAAACAGTGNCTTTGCCGTACATCAGAGATCAACCTAACATTGTAAAATAACTACACTCCGATAAAGGTAATTTAAAAAGTAAACTGTGATGCCGACACCCCCAAAAACAGCTCGGCGTGATGGCCGATACCCTTGACTGTATCCCTTCTGCCTTCGTGTCTGTCTGCTCTGCTGGTTGGCGATTCCCTCTGCCCTTTTTGCTGCTCACCTGAAGTTCCGTGCGCTCTGCATCCTGTTAACGATCCCTGACCTTCTCTCTTCATTTTGGAAAATTAGACGTGTCTTTTCTTCCGTGTGTCCCCTGACCCCAGTTTCCCTTCCCTCCTTGCTTCCCCAGATAAAATTTTTAAAATTTAAAAAAAAAAAATTGTTTTTGGGACCTCCCTAGTCCAGTGGTTGAGAATTTGTCTCCCAATGGAGGAGGTTGGGTTCTATCCCTGGTCAGGGAGATGAGACCTCACGTGCTTCCCGGTCCAAAAAAAAAAACCAGAACATAAATCAGAAGGAACAATGTAACCAATATTCAATAAAGTCTAAAAAAATGGTCCACATAAAAAAAATATTTTTTAAAAAAAATTGGTTTAAAAACTTGCTTTATTGATGCTCTGTTTTCTAGATCATGAAGTCTTGGTTTCTTTTTTTCATGACCTGCACTTTTTATAATTTTTATTTACTTACTCAGTTACTTGGGGCTGTGCTGGCTTTTCGTTGCTGTGTATGTTCTCTGTAGCTGTGGTGAACGAGGGCTCCGCGTTGCCGTGCTCCTCATCACGGATCCAGCCCGGGGCACGCGGGCTCGGCAGTTCAGGGGCCTGGACTCGAGAGCACAGGCCCCACAGTCACGGCTCGTGGGCTTAGTTGCTCCGACGCAGATAGAATCTTCCCGGACCAGGGATCGCACCTGTCTCTCCTGCGTTGGCAGGCAGATTCTTTACCACTGAGTTGCTAGGGAAGCCCCAAAATAATTTTAAATTAAAAAAAAATTAACATCAGAGAACAGCAAAGGAAGAATAAAGGAACAAAAGCATGAGACTCACAAACAGGAACATGTTGCAGTTCAGTCACTCAGTCGTGTCTGACTCCTTGCGACCCCATGAATCGCAGCACGCCAGGCCTCCCTGTCCATCACCAGCTCTGGAGTTTACTCAAACTCATGTCCATTGAGTTGGTGATGCCATCCAGCCATCTCATCCTCTGTCGTCCCCTTCTCCTCCTGCCTTCAGTCTTTCCCAGCATCAGGGTCTTTTTAAATGGGTCAGTTCTTCTCATCAGGTGGCCAAAACATTAGAGCTTCAGCTTCAGCATCAGTTCTTCCAATGAATATCAACATGGGAGACTTAAAATCACGCATTTGACCGTAAGGGGTCAAACACTCTAATTAGAGGACAGAGACTGTCAGGCTGGAGAAGGGAAGAAAGACCCAACATATGATGCTCACCTGAGACGTTCTCTACATATAAAAACACAGGAAGCCCGGAGTGGAAGGATACAGACACTAGTGCTGTGGTGGTACCTATATTAGCGACAGGCACAGGGGCCTGAAGGCAGGAAGCGTGAAACCAGAAACTGAGACCTGTTTCATACTGATGAAAAGTTTAATTCAACAGGAAGACACAACAACCCTAAATGTGCAGGCATCTAACAGCATAGTTCCAGACCACACACAGCAGCAGCTGACACACCTAAAGCGAGATCCAGACAAGCCCACCGCCGTGGCCGCAAGTGGGGCCCAGCAGACAGGACAAGTCAGCAGACCCTGAAGATGCAGGGGACGACTTGTCACACGTACCCACCACATCCAACAGCTGCCAAGCAGATTCTTGTCGAGTCACATGGAACATTTCCCAGCAGAAGTCACGTGGCAGCTGTAGTCACAGTCACATCACAGGACTGGGGTCACAGCAAGCTAGACCCTCCAGTCCAGCCTTCAGACCCCGCGGGCCCTCCCCCGGCCTGAGTGAACCAGAAACACCAGCCCAGCTGCTGCCAACCCTGACCCTCAGAACCTGGGAGAGATAATAGATATTTATTATCATTCATAACATTAATATAATAATGTGTTACATTTGTTGTTGTTCATTCACTAAGTTGTATTTGACTCTTTGGGACCCTGCAGTATACCAGGCTTCTCTGTCCTTCACTGTTTCCCAGAGTTTGCTCAAACTCAGGTCCATTGAGTTGGTGATGCCATCCAACCATCTCATCCTCTGTCGTCCCCTTCTCCTCCCACCTTCAATCTTCCCCAGCATCAGGGTCTTTTCCAATGAGTTGGCTCTTTACATCAGGTGACCAAAGTATTGGATCTTCAGCATCAGTCCTTCCAATGAATTTCATTCAGGGTTGATCTCCTTTAGGATTGACTGGTTTGATCTCCCTGCAGTCCAAGGGACCTCAAGAGTTTTCTCAGATGTTACATACTATATAATAACACACACTATAATTATTTGTTATTATTTACCTACTTTTCCAGCTGCTTTGCTTTGCAGTAACTTGTTACATAGCAGCAAGTAACTGACACATCTTAGCTTCTGAGCTGGGAGCCCAGGGTATGGACTTTACATGTTTCTTCCTTTCTGACACATGCACGGAAAGTGGGCAAGTTCCCTCCCAGCACTAACCAAACCCAAAGAAGCAGAGGAAAGGAGAACAGGAACCAGTGACGCAGAAAACACAGCAGCGCCTCGACAAAGCCCACAGTGACTGTCCGAAAGGGCTAACGGAAGCGATGAATCCGAGCAAGATTAGGGAGGCGGAGTCACACCAACAGTGAGAGGGGACACGCCACAGGTCCTCAGCGACCGAGAAAGCGCTGGATGAGAAGATTACAAGGAATTTTATGCTGATAAACCAGACAGCTTGGATGCAATGAAAAAAGTCACTGAGAAACATATCTACCAAAATTGACACAAGAAGAAATCGAGACTCTGAGTTATCCTGTATCTGTCAGTTAGAATCAAAGGTGTTTTCTAGATCAAGCCCTCATCTCACGTCATCACATGTCCAGTGCAAGAGGCTAAATTGAGTGACTTTGAGTGACAGCCCCCCGCGGGTCTGGGACGGATCTGGGGGGGCAGGAGGCAGGGGCCGCCCCTGGGGGGAGGGCAACATAGCCAGGCAGGAGGAGGGCACCGCTCAGGGACCCCAACCTGCTGCAGTCAGTCAGTCATGGAACCTCCAGGCCTGCTGTGAGCAGCGGGGAGGGGCTGAAGGGAGGTGGGCGGGGCCGAGGGGAAGTGGAGGGGCTGAAGGCGGGTGGGGACCCCCAGGGGAGGTGGGAGGGGGCCCAGGGGGAGGGAGGCGTGCCTGAGGGCGGGCGCAGGCGCCTACGCAGCGCTCCGCCCGCGATCATCAGTGATGGAGCCACAGCCGCGTGCCTGTCACCACGTTCTCCTTTAATGCAGCTCAGACCGCCTCGTGAGGATGTAAGGATGTAAGGATGTAAGCTCAGGACGTAAGGATGGAGGGATGGAGACGCAGGCCCTCAGGCTCTGCGCCAGGGGGCGCCCTGGGAGGGCGCGAGCCACGGCCGTCTTCCAGGTGAGTAGTGTCTGTAAACGTCTTCAGATTCTTAATACTTTGGGTTAAAAAATATATTCTGAGGCTGGGACGCAGCCGGCCCGAGCGACAGGCTCCCGGGCAGAGCAGCGCACTGGTGGTTTCTGTTCAAGGCCGACCTCAGTTTCAGCTTCAGGACTTCATCATGCAGCCTCCGGGCCTCGGGGACAGAGAGGGGTCAGGTCAGCCTGGATGCAGAGGCATGGTGGGGGCAGAGCCTGTGCCCTGGGCCTGGAGCCTCCCCCCGCCCCACCCCCTCAGCCCCCTCTGCCTGGGGGGGTCTCCCTTCCTCCCCATTCCCCACCTCACAGAGTCTGGACCAGCAAACGGTGAGATGGAGAGTGAGGGGGCCAGGGGCCAGTGTTGGAGCAGCCCCTCCTGTCAGAGGGCTGGCATGCATCGAGCAGGGGTCTCCCTTCCGTTCCACCTCCGACACTCCCTTAACCCCCTGAGACCCCTCCCCCAGGACAGCACCAGGGAGCCCTCCAGGCTCGTCCATTCAGGATCTGCTGCTTCCGCTTCCTGCCTGCCCTCCGACCCTGTGACCCAGGGAAACCCCAAGGTCAGAGCCCGTGTGGTTCCCTCCGGGTTTCAATGGACACTCACCATCTCCACGTCTCGGGCGGCCCTCCCGACGCCCTCGAGGGGCGCCAGCCCCCGGAACCTGCTCCTCCGCGCATCCAGCTGCTGGGTCTGCGGCTTCAGCATCTCCGCCAGAATCTGCCCTCGGAGTCCACTGCGGGGACTGGGTGCGGGGAGACAGAGCGCTCGCCTGCCCGCCCCGGAGCGCCTCCTGTCCCCCAGCTGGGAGAGACAGCTCCCCCCGCCTCAGGTGCCCGCCCACAGGGGACGGGCCGCCTCCCGTGCCCCCTCCTGCTGGACCTGCTCTGCTTTAAACGCTCAGGTACACGTGAGACGTTACACACCGTGGACATGTACGCAGCGCCTCGTGAAGGAGGGGGTGTCTGTTTCCAGCGGGAACACACGGTTTTAATAATTCCTCAGTGAGGAACAGAGCACAGCTTCGGGGGTGACGTTGGAGGGTCTGCTCAGCAAGGCCTGGGGCCGTTTCCCCCTCAGGACGTCGGGAGCGCGATGGGGAGGGTGGCAGGCCCTGGGGCACACCCCTGGCCGGGCCCCTGAGATCCCCCCACACCAGCACAGTGGCTGCCTGAGTCCTCAGGACAGACCCCCTGGTGAGGGGCCTGACTGCCCTCATCTCAGACCCCAGCTCCTGGGAAGTCCTACCCACGAGGTAGGGTGTCTGTGCACAGACGTGGCTGGCTGTGGGCTTGCTAAGGGGCCACGGGGGCAACGTGGGATCCCAGGTGTGCAAGTACCCCCCACCAACTCCTCAGCTGCAGGTGAGACCCCCACGAAGCTGCCTTAACCCCACCGACGGGCCCGTGACACTTTCCCAATTTCCAGGATGAGGGACGAACGAGCCCTCTGCCACCCACAGGTCACAGCACAGCCACCTTCCCGCAGTGCCCTCGGACCAGAGCTGTGGAGGGGCAGGGCTGGGCTGGGCGAGGTGAGCGCCCCTGGCCAGGTCGGAGGGGCCCAGGGACCGCCGGGGTCAGGGCGGGCGGAGGGGCGTGTCTCGGGGACAGAATCATGCCCGGTTACCAACGAGGTTACCAACCTCATTTCCTGACACGCTTGCAGCGGTTCTTCTTTGCTTTGTTTCACTTTTCCAGGCAAATTCTTCAGTATTTTCCCTTTCTCTCTCAGGTCCGTGGCAAGGGCCATCTTTGCCGCCCCCTGGAAGACGCAGCAAGATCCTTTCAGGAAAACAGCCACTGACACCAAGGCTGCCGCCGGGCACAGCACACTCGCGCTCCTCACGCTAGGGTCCCAACCCTCGGCCGGCGCGGGGCGGAGGGGGGGTGAGGCCACAGCGCAGGACATGGGCGAGTAGACGGCTGCTCGGCGGCCCAGCCAGGCGTGGGCACAACACAGCTGACTCTGTTTGATCCATAGGTCAGGCTGACATGTGGGCTCATGCCCGACTAATAAAGTGGGGAAGTAGAAGCCTTGTAGTCAGAAAGCCTGAATTACAGATTCATAGGCTTGGATCAATGACACGACGAACCGGCACAAAACAGGCTTTCAAAATGGGCCAGAATCAGCAGAGCCAGCTTTTCCAACAGAGACAGACCTCTGTCTGTGGCTCTGCTTGAGCTCACGGCCCCCACAAGTGTGCAGGCACAGCGGGGCTCAGGGGTGTCCCCTAACTAGCCCCCTGCCTCCCGAACCATGGCCGGTGAGCCTTGACTGCCCTCAGGGACCCCACAAGCTCCGATGGTGACCGTCCAGAGTCTCTAGCAGGAGGCCTTCTCCGTCCTCCCCGGAAGCAGCCGCGACAGGTTCTTCTGGGCGGAGGGGCCCTGAGTGGGGGCCAGGGAGGCAGGATAAAGGCTGCGTGGTTCTGTAAGGATCCGCAGACTGCTTAGGCCTTCCCTGGCGGGACAGCGGACAGGCATACACCGGCCAGTGCAGGGAACACGGGTTTGATCCCTGGTCCGGGGGGTGTCCACATGCCCCGGGGAAGCTAAGCCCGTGTGTCACAACTGCTGAGGCCCACGTACATGCTGGAAGGCCGGAGAGCCACGGCTCCTGAAGCCTGACACCCAGAGCCCAGGCTCTGCGACGAGAAACTGCTCTGCTGGGGGGCCCCCGCGCCTCCCCCCACAGCCATCCTGCGGCGGTTTCCTCCTGGCGGGGACCTGGAAGATTTCTGCCGTCAGGGCTACAAGCTGGGGGCCCTGCAGCCCTGTAACGGGGATGCGAGTGGCAGCAGCTGCCCCCCCCCCGGACCCCTGAGAACCAAACCAACCCCCAACCCAGGGAGCTTAGACTTGTGCATCTGAAGTATGCGAGTGCGTCTGTGTCTGAAGTGTGTGAGTGCGTCTGTGTCTGAAGTGTGTGAGTGCGTCTGTGTCTGAAGTGTGTGAGTGCGTCTGTGTCTGTGAAGTGTGCGAGTGCGTCTGTGTCTGAAGTGTGTGAGTGTGTCTGTGTCTGTGAAGTGTGTGAGTATGTCTGTGTGTGTGTCAGGGCGCACAGCTGCTGCAGGGATTGGATGAGTCTCAGATGGGAGAAGGCTGCGGGGGGCGCCGGGGCGGTGCGGGGCGGTGGGGGGGGCTTATGCAGGGCTAATCTGCCAGGTCACCTCTAAGTGGGTCACCAGGCCGGCCACCTGCGTCACCAGCTCCAGTCCAGCAGCACCGGCCTGACCTCAGAAGGAGCCTCAGGCTGGGGGAGGCTGGGGGGCGGGGGGAGCAGGAGCCGGCCAGCTTCTCCTCCCCCCACCCCCTACTCCCATGCCCGCTGGGACAGCTGCTGCGCAGACCAGCGGAATCGGAACCTCCTGCCTGGGAGGTGGGGTGCGGCACACACGGGACCATGGGTCAGGCCCGCCTGCCACGGCCCCCGGGCAAGCGCTGGGTCCAGTGGGGTTTCTTAGACGCAGACGCCTGCTTTTACCTTTAAGACACGTAGGGTGTGATTCCGGCCGCACCCCAGCACCGTGTTGCCAGAGCACAGCGCGTGGACTCCAAGGTCACTGGCAAAGCCGCTGGGTTCAGAGCATCATGCTTTCTAAAGAGTGGGTGATGAGTCACGAGGCTCGGGCTCCTGCCTGGGCCAGAGGAAGCTTCCTGACCCGTGCGGGCGGTGGACAGGACGCCGGCGACCCCCACCCTAGGCGGCCAGGCCCTGGGAGGCCCGGCACCCCCATGTCCCCTCGTGGCCCCGGCCCGGCCCCTCCGCCAAGCTTGCCAGAACGAGGGATGCGGTGGATGGAGCCCCAGCTCTGCCTACGTTCGCCCCTGCAGATGACGCTGAGGGCCACTAACGCGCTTTCCACCTACGACTGCTTTTCCTTCTCCGAGACAGGCCCCCAGAAGTCTCCCAGCAATTCAGTGTCTTTAACTCTCCTGGACATGCTCCTGGAGGCGGGTGGCTTGCAGCCGGCCCTCTGCGGCCCCTTCTCTCTAGGCCGCCCCGAGCACGCTGGCCGCCGTTCACAGCTGGAGCCCCGAGACACGGGCGTCTCCTCCGGACTTTCTGCCACCCGGGCGTCGTCTGCAACCTGCCTGTCCTACCCTTGGCCTGTTTGTCTACTGCACTCTTTAAAAAATCTATTTTCTGGTTTTTCCTTATATATTAGATATTAATCTTTTGTTACAAATATAAGTCACAAATAATCTCCCCATGTTTGACTTTGATTATAGTATTTTAGGCCATGAAAAATACTTCTGCTTTTAGCTTCCTATTTTTAGTTTCAGAGTTGTTGCATTTAACTTAGGAGGCAAAGTGCTACTCCTGGTTTACAGACACTCTTCAATTCCTATGCTATGAACCCTAGTAACGGAGTGACGAGATGCCGTATTTCTCCGTAATATACAAAATATACAGAATGGGACAAGCTGCTTCTTGCACGACATCACGAAGTCATTTCCAGCGGGAGGGAAGCATGCAAAAAGGCAGTGAGCCCCAGCTACACATGCCTAAGTGCGCAAACACCGCACCCGGGGCCACGGCCGCCCCGTGGGGGCAGCGACTCAGTGCCCGTGCCTGGATGGACAGAGCAGCAGAGTGCCTGTCCACATGCGGAATGTCACGCGGCCCCCAAGAGGAAGGGAGTTCAACACAGGCCATCATGCCAACGAGCCTTGAGGACACACTGGCCAGTGAAATGACCGCCGCGGCGCACACACAGGGTGCCCTCACTCACGGGGGTCCCAGGAGTCAGACACAGACAGGGTGGGGGGGCAGGGTCTGGGGAGCCAGCACTGCACGGGGACAGAGCCGCAGTATGGGAAGCCAGGGAGGCCCTGCAGGTGGGCGAGGTGGTGCTTGCAGAGCGCCGGGACGGTGCTAAGTGCCCCTGAACCGCCCGCTCAACCACGGTCCAGACGGCACGTGGCCTGTCACGGGCACTCAGGCACACGTGGCTCATGGAGGCTCCCCATCCGACGGCCACAACGAGGCCTAAACCCAGCCCCGCAGTGGGGCCCTGGTCTCTAGGGGTCACCTTGATGATCCGCTCTGTGCTCCGGGGGGAGGAGTCGCCCTCATCTGCATGAAGAGGCTGCAGGGGCGGGGTGCAGGTGGAGGGGAAATGGGTCTCCAGGGCCCCGGGGGAGGGGAGGAGGTCTGCTGCCCGGCTCGAGGTCCGTGGCCTGGACTGCGGACCCGAGTCCAGCCTGGGGGCCCTGAGCCCGCATCGCGAGCCTGTCACTGCGAGGGCAGTGACGCCTGCTCCGGGAGGACCCTCCTGAGCTGCAGGAGTGAGGGGTGATCTGCGGGAAGGGGTCTGAGCACCCACAGGGAGCTCCAGGGAGGCCGGGCAGCGGGGCTGCAGGGGGCGGCCGGCGGAGGCCGGCACAGGGTGGACGAGCTGGTGGTCTCTGTTTTCTGTGGGAGGTCACCGATGGCAGGGGAACAGGACGTCGAGCTGACGGGCTTTGGAAGGCAGGCCGCCTTTGCGCGGGTACCTGGACGCAGCCCGCTCACCCAGCACCGCCTACCGGGCTCCGGGGCTCCTCCGCGGGGCCCCCTCCCCTCCGCGGCGGGCACCCCCTCCCCTCCGCGGGCGCCCCCTCCCCGCCCCCACACATACCGGGTTCCTCCGCGGGGGTGGCGCCAGCAGGCTCCCGGGTTCCTCCGGCCTTCTCCTCATCTGGGCGCGCTCCCTCCACTCCTGCAGCACTCGCTTGTCTCTGGGGGAGGGGTGGGGGCAGCAGAACCTGAGTGCTGTGGATAAGGCGGCTCTCACCAGCGTTTCTACGGTCACTTCTAGAGCTTCACACAAAAGCCCGTCACTCCGGGCTCCCCCTCTCCGCCCAGAGGACAGACGCTGGCCGGACACCCGGGCCTCCTGGGCAGCGCTTGGCGCCTCTGAGTTTGTCTGGGCCTCCCGGCAGGGACCAGCCCAGCTCTGGCCAGCCCTTGCCCGCTGAGGCACCAGGACCCTTTCCAGGAAGGCCCAGCTGGGGCTGTGAGCTCCAAAGCCAAGGCTTCAGGCATTCACGGGTCTGCACGCCGCGCAGGGGGCCACCGAGCCGCCCGCCCACTCGCTCTCCGACGCCTGAACCTCATCAGGAGCCTGAGCCCTGTCTCTGTCGCCCGGCGCCCACGGCTGGGCTGTTGGTAGCGTATCACCCGCTGCACCACAACCCCCCGATGATGCCCGGGGCTCGATGCCTCCACGCGTGCCAGGCACCACACCCGGGACGTCCCTGGCTGAACAGAGCCCTGGGCCACGGCTGCGGTGCTGGGACGGCCAGGCCCAGGGCTTCACCCACCGCACTCCGGCTCTGGACACCATCTCTCCAGCCCAGGCGGCCATTCGCCTGTTTGAACCACGTCCTGACTCTTCCGGGTCCCTGTCCCTGGGACATCCCCTTCCGGCCCCCAGACCTGGCTCTCCAGTTCCTCTCGGGGCAGAGCCCTCCCAGACTCGCCCGCCCCTCCCCGCGGCCTGGGCCCCTGCCCAGAGGGGCCAGATCCCCTCCGTCCTCAGGGTCACGGTGCTGGGTCCTTCTGGGCTCCTGGCCGGCGCCCTTCAAGGCCTCTGTCCTGGGCTCCAGGCTGAGGGTGGCAGGCTGAGGGCGGCACAGACTTTGGTGCTCCAAGCAGAGCCCTTTGCCCCCTGCAGCCCCGCCGCCCACCTCCCAGGAGCTCCCTGTGGGTGCTCAGACCCCCTCCCCGCAGCTCACGCCTGGGTCCTCCTGGAGAGGGTGTCACTGCCCCGCACCCTCCTCGGGGGGCTGTGCCATCCTGTGACCCCTCACTGGCCTGCTCATCCCTAGGCCCAGTGAGAGGCTGGCTGTCCTTGCCCCCCAGCCCCCGGGGGCCAGGCGCCCCCTTTGCTCCTGCACAGAGCCCTCCTCCCCTGCGGGGCTGCCCACGGGAAGCTGTGCCCGCGCAGGGTGGGGCCGTGAGCGACGGAGGCAGAGGCGCTCGGGAGGGGGGTGGGCAGCCACCCCTGCAGACCTGCCTGGATGGAGAGGGGGTGGGGGGCCTTAGGGGGGCGCAATGGGCTCCATGCGGCACGCAGGTGGACAGACACCCGGGAGACGGGGGGCGGCCCAGGGGAGCCCAGGCCACACCATCTCGCTCAGCCGTGCTATCAGTCACGGGGTGTGGGGCCCCGGGCGGGGACGCCGTGTTCCCTGCCCGGGTCTGAGTGCCTTGCAGCACCGGCCTTTCGCTGAAGGCGACGGCACCCGACTAGAAAAGCACGTCCGGGCTGGGACCAGCACACGAACCCTCTACACTCGAGGGTCCTGAGAGAAGACACTCAGGTGGGCTGATTTCAGGAGGTCTATTCAGACAATTTACAAGACAGGGGCGGGACCGCAGGGGCAGACCGGGCCCTGCTAGGAGGAGGGGCTGTGCCCACCGCAGCCCCGGGGGTGGGGGGCGGACAGACTCTGCCCTCCCTCACCCCCGCCCCACTGACCTCCTGCCGGACCCCCCACCGGCCAAACCCAACCAGAGGGTGGGGGCACCCGGGCACGCTGGAGGCAGGCCGTCCGTGCTGGGCGGTCTCTGGGGGCCCAGGGCGCACTGGAGACGGGCGGTTGGCGGGGCTGGAGGGCAGAAGGCGGACAGTGAGGATGGCTGGCCAAGTCAGCCCGGACCCCAGGGTAGGGGCAGGATGAGCCCACGGACAGCAGGCTACTGTAAGCAACTTGCCTTAAAAAAGGCCTGTGAGCCGGTGCTGAACAGGGGAGGACGGACTGGGGAGAATAAGGAAGCAGACGGGGACACAGGCCAGCAGCAGGCGAGGGGCCACGCCCAGCCACGGGGACACCATAGCAGCTTCCAGTGAAGCCAAGACCCCCGGCGCTCCCCCAGCCCCAACCCTGGGGGGNCACCTCCGGCTCTGCTCCTGAGCCTGCCTCTCCCGCAGCTCCCGGAGGGCCAGGCCCCTGCTCTCCCCCAGCTGGCTGGCGCGGACCAGGGCCTGCCGGGCGGAGCCCAGCTCGGGCAGGACGCCTTGGAAAGAGGGCACCTTCATCCTACGACAACACGAGGTCGTCAGCCGAGTGCGTCACGCAGCCCGAGATGAGCGTGGGGCCGCAGGCGGCTGCCTGCAGAAGCCACGACCCTCTCTGTCGGTGGGCAGGGCCTCCACCCCCTCCCCAGGCCAGGTCTCGACTGTGAGACACCTGAGACCAGGTGAGACTGCCGCTGTGGGAAAAAGTGGGCGTGGACCTAGATGAACTAGGCCATCGGGCCTCTGCCGGGGAGCCCTGCGCTGTGAGCCCAGGGCCACGGCCAGGCAGTGACCCTCCAACAATGCTTTCCTCTGAGAAATTCTCAAACCTGCAGCGACAATGCAGTGAACACATGCCCCCTTGGCTTGTGGATCTAAGCTCTCGTCCGTTTTCCAGCTGCGCCCAGCGCAGCCTTGTCAGCTCAGATGGGCTGGTGCTCGCAGCCTCACTGCAGACTTTCACCACAGACTCGCGTGTCCACACAGCCCACGGGGCCGCAGACGAGTGGCCGCGGACCACGTCCGTGCCCTGGACATGACGTCACTGCCCGTGCCGACGTGTGAGCTGTGTTCGCCAGCGTTACTGGGTCACGCTCTCTCTGCACACACACACCCACACGCGTGTGCAGGCCGTGCACACACGCGCCAGGCACATGCACATGCCATCTGAGTCTTTCTCTCACGTAACCTCTTGCTCTGAGCCTGTTTCCCTGGCTTACCCCGCGCCGTTGGGGTAACTTGAACCCTAACCCGGGGCTGGCACGTGCCACGTCTCGGGATGACGATGTGGACACACGTTCACCTGACAGCGTCACGTTAGGGCCTCGCAGGAAAACGTGCCAACCTGCGGGGACCGCGTCCAGCCTCGCCTCCTGCCTTCACCTGAAGCGGGGCCTCGGGCGGGGGAGCGGCTTCCCCTTGGAGCCCAGCGCGGCCCTGAGGTTGGGGGGCAGCTCCACCGGCAGGAGCTGGTTCCCCAGCGCCCCCGCCCGCTCACTCTCCACGATCTCCTGCCGCAGCGTCCAGAACCGCCGGATCTCCTCCTCGCTCGGCCAGTCCTCCGGCGTCTCGGTGGAACTCCTGGGCCCGAGCAGGCCTAGTGCTTCCACAGGTGGGAAAGAGTCTGCCTTCTCTGTTAGCATGCTTCTCTTTGGCTCCTGAGAACGAATGGCTTCTTTGTTAGGTATCTGCTCTTCGGATAAGTCCAACAGGGGCTGTGGCAGATCCCTCGCGGTCATCTTTTTAACTGGGGAAACGGACAGCGAACAAAAGGCCGTTTTAGTAGATTGCAGCTCCAAGCCCGACACACACGCAGCCTGGAGGCCGCTCCCACATAGAAGGCTGGGGGCTCCCTGTGTAGGGTGGGCGGGGGGATCTCTCTGCCCCAGGCTCTCACTCCACACAAGTCTGTATAAGTGAAGATACCTTCCCCATCTAGACCTTCTAGTATCTGCTTCCAACCAATGCTCAGCCCACACACCTGTGCTATTTTATTGCAGCGCTTCTGCTGACTTTAGACACTTTGATCCCTAGGAAAGTCTAGTGAGAAAACTGGCCCCGAACATATTCATCCCGAGGTGCACCAGACCCCGCATCGGGTGTTAGGGCCACAGCACCCCGCAGAAGGGGGTCATCTCGCCTCACGTGGCCTCCGTTCTGGCGGGGCAGGACCTCATGTGCTGACTGACAGACCGGGGCCCCGGGCCTGCTGTGGGCTTGGAGTGGGGGGCTCGCCCACCAAGCCCAGCCTCAGCCTGTGGCACACCCCCAGACCCAGCAGCCCCTGGCGTTCTACAACACATTGAGACAGCTTTGCCCGTCCAAGTTACCTTCTGGTATAAAACGAATTCATCTTCAGCTTTTTGGCCTAATTTATTCAGCTGTTTTCTACCCTTTTCCCCAGCTGATCATGTATCTATTACGTTGGAACCAATAGAGCCCTCTTTATAAAAATACAAATAAAAAATACAATGGGACTGCAAGGTGATGAGTTTTAACTGCACAATAAAATGTTAAATTCTGAACAATACGTTCAGTGTCAGTGGTCACAACATTGTTTCTTGAAGTGGAGGCTGCTCTCCCGTGCTCTGGGGAGACCGTGGAATGTGGGCGGGTGGACACCTGGACTCACAGGCTAGCAGGACGGCACCTGCCCTTCGGAACCCTGGCCCGGGTCTCCTCCTGTGGGAACCCGAGAGTGGCCCAGCGGGGTGCACTGCGGCTGCACCGGGCACAGCTCGTGTGAGCCCAGGATGGCCTGGTCCCAACCACTGGGGACCGGTGCTGGGGGTCGGTGTTCTTTTGTTTTTTAAAGAAAAATAGTTTTCAAAATTGGCAAAGACCTGCTTTAAAAAGTCTTAAGAAGTGACAAGAAATGAGCACATGCGTCCAATTTGCTTGTGGACAGACAACTGACTCAGCATCAAAGAGTCAAACTGGACCCGTCACACCACCAAACAGGAGTAGAGATGCCAGCAGACGGGAGTTTAAAGTCGAGCAAACGGGCCAGATGCAAGCACTGTAAACGAATGCTGAATCACCCCATGTGGCATGAAAACAACTAATGCATGAAAATGGAAACCATCGTTTTGACTGGTCATTTGGTGCATTTTTAGGTGACTCCTGGGATGGTCACCTCCATGGGGGCTTGCAGGTGAGGACGGCTTCGTTTGAACCACCCCAGTGGGCTTTTAGCCAAACCCACCCTCGACAAGCTCAGTGACGGGCACCGAGGATGCAAACCCACCCACACGGAACCAGGAAGACACGCGGCTCTGAGTGAGCATGGAGGTCTGTGCGAGTCGGGCAGGGGACGCGCCGGGCACCCTTACCCCGCGTGACGCCCTGGGGCCCCGGGGTTACAGAGCACCGGCGTCAGTGCGTCCTAACAATCGCGCCACCCACCTCGAGGGGAGCCATCTCGGGGTACCGCGCACTCGGCCGCGCAGATCTGCAGGAAGGTCAGGATGGCCACCAGCCCCCTCTGCACCACGAGCTGTGGCGGGAACTCCAGGGGGCAGTGCCGCAGGCTCAGGGCCTTCAGGGTGGTCACGCTCCCTGTGGGAGAGCAGAGCCGTCAGCACCCGCCGCCCGGTGGGAACCGGCCGGTCAGGGCAGCCCGGACCCCAACACGAAGGACAGAAGGCCCGGCGAGGGTCTGGGGCGAAAGGTCACGACAGATGCTTGAGATCTGCTTCCAAAAAAAAAACTCTGCAGGGGAGACGGGTTCTGTGGATGAAGACCATGATGGTTATAAAATTAAATACGCAAACAGAAGCGGCAACCGCAGCCCTCAGGTGCAAACCAAAATACAAAGATGCTGTCATGTGCAAACCAAAATACAAAGATGCTGTCACATGCTATCTCACAGACCTGTTTTCAACAACAACAGCAAAACCACAGGTCATGTAGGACAGAAGGAGGAGGGGGAGAGCGGGACGCACACCAGGAAGCACAGTCGGAAGGGACTGTCATCCAGTTGGTCCATGTGCTGGACTTAGCACACAGAGACTTCAAAACATCATTTTAGATGTGCTCAAAGAAATGAAAAACAACAACAACAACAATCCATGTTTAAATGATTAAAGAAAGCGTAGTGAAATGACTCAACAAATGTCAGTAAAAAGTAGAAACTACACAAAAGAAGCAAGTGGAAGTTCTAGAGTTGAAAATTACGAAGACTGCGATAAAATCTCCTGGAGGGACTCAGCAGCAGGCGTGAGATGGAGAAGAGACAGTAAGTGAACTTGAAGATGGAGGAGCAGAGAGTCTCCATCTGAAGATCACAGAGGAGAAAGGGTTAAAACCAGGGCAGAACCTCCAGAGACTGTGGAACAACGGCAGGTGTGCGAGCACGTGTGTAAGGAGAGCAGACGCAGAAAGGAGCAGAGGGGTCACCCGAGGAGACCACGGCGAAAA